TGCTTTTGCCTTCCCTCCCTACACACAGTGGTGCTACTTGATGAATACCTATACCTATAATCCTCAGTGAACCCTTGATTTGACCCATGATTTTGTCGTCCATTAAATTGTGACTGAGAATGGTTGTTACCAAACTGGTGACGATAGCTGGTTGACTGATTCCGTATGGTATCACTGGATGCTGAGTATCTGTCTGCAACTGCAAAATGCCCTTCACTGTCACTACCCTCACTATAAGTTGTTTGGCTCCTACTCCTCTCAGATCCTCTCTGTGAGGATTGCCCAATGCCACACTGAGAGTTTCTTCTGGAATCTTCCGATGGACCCTGTGTAGACCCCTCTCTCCCTCTGACAGAGGATCCAGACTGCCCATGTTGAGATCTAGCCTGGCCATGACTGGATCCTGAGTGTCCATGAGAGACTGCTGAATGGCCTTCACTGTCACTGACCTCACTGTGACTGGCTTCTCTTGTAGTCCTGTCAGATCCCGTGTGTGAAGATTGCCCATGGCCCGACTGAGAGTGTCTGCTGGAGTGTCCTGATTGTCCCTGGGTAGATCCCTCCTGTCTCCCTCTGACAGAGGATCCAGACTGCCCATGGTGAGATCTAGCCTGGCCATGACTGGACCCTGAGTGTCCATGAGAGACTCCTGAGTGGTGTTCACTGTCACTGACCTCACTGTGACTTGCTTCCCTTCTCCCACTGGTGTGAGATCCAGTGTGTGAAGATTGTCCTCTGCCTACCTGAGAGTGTCTGCTGGAGTCCCCTGATTGTCTCTGAGTAGATCCCTGTCTCCCTCTGACAGAGGATCCAGACTGTCCATGCTGAGATCTAGCCTGGCCATGACTGGACCCTGAGTGTCCATGAGAGACTGCTGACTGGCCTTCACTGTCACTGACCTCACTGTGACTTGCTTCTCTTGTAGTCCTGTCAGATCCCGTGTGTGAAGATTGCCCATGGCCCGACTGAGAGTGTCTGCTGGAGTCTCCTGATTGTCTCTGGGTAGATCCCTGTCTCCCTCTGACAGAGGATCCAGACTGTCCTTGTTGAGATCTAGCCTGGCCATGACTGGACCCTGAGTGTCCATGAGAGACTGCTGACTGGCCTTCACTGTCACTGACCTCACTGTGACTTGCTTCTCTTGTAGTCCTGTCAGATCCCGTGTGTGAAGATTGCCCATGGCCCGACTGAGAGTGTCTGCTGGAGTCTCCGGATTGTCCCTGGGTAGATCCCTGTCTCCCTCTGACAGAGGATCCAGACTGCCCATGTTGAGATCTAGCCTGGCCATGACTGGACCCTGAGTGTCCATGAGAGACTCCTGAGTGGTGTTCACTGTCACTGACCTCACTGTGACTTGCTTCCCTTCTTCCACTGGTGTGAGATCCAGTGTGTGAAGATTGTCCTCTGCCTACCTGAGAGTGTCTGCTGGAGTCCCCTGATTGTCTCTGAGTAGATCCCTGTCTCCCTCTGACAGAGGATCCAGACTGTCCATGCTGAGATCTAGCCTGGCCATGACTGGACCCTGAGTGTCCATGAGAGACTGCTGACTGGCCTTCACTGTCACTGACCTCACTGTGACTTGCTTCCCTTCTTCCACTGGTGTGAGATCCAGTGTGTGAAGATTGTCCTCTGCCTACCTGAGAGTGTCTGCTGGAGTCTCCTGATTGTCCCTGAGTAGATCCCTGTCTCCCTCTGACAGAGGATCCAGACTGTCCATGCTGAGATCTAGCCTGGCCATGACTGGACCCTGAGTGTCCATGTGAGACTCCTGACTGGTCTTCACTGTCACTGCCCTCACTGTGACTTGCTTCTGTTCTAGTCCTGTCAGATCCCGTGTGTGAAGATTGCCCATGGCCAGACTGAGAGTGTCTGCTGGAGTCTCCGGATTGTGCCTGTGTAGATCCCTCCTGTCTCCCTCTGACAGAGGATCCAGACTGTCCATGCTGAGATCTAGCCTGGCCATGACTGGACCCTGAGTGTCCATGAGAGACTGCTGACTGGCCTTCACTGTCACTGACCTCACTGTGACTTGCTTCCCTTCTTCCACTGGTGTGAGATCCAGTGTGTGAAGATTGTCCTCTGCCTACCTGAGAGTGTCTGCTGGAGTCTCCTGATTGTCCCTGAGTAGATCCCTGTCTCCCTCTGACAGAGGATCCAGACTGTCCATGCTGAGATCTAGCCTGGCCATGACTGGACCCTGAGTGTCCATGTGAGACTCCTGACTGGTCTTCACTGTCACTGCCCTCACTGTGACTTGCTTCTGTTCTAGTCCTGTCAGATCCCGTGTGTGAAGATTGCCCATGGCCAGACTGAGAGTGTCTGCTGGAGTCTCCGGATTGTGCCTGTGTAGATCCCTGTCTCCCTCTGACAGAGGATCCGGACTGTCCCATGTTGAGATCTAGCCTGGCCATGACTGGACCCTGAGTGTCCATGAGAGACTGCTGACTGGCCTTCACTGTCACTGACCTCACTGTGACTTGCTTCTCTTGTAGTCCTGTCAGATCCCGTGTGTGAAGATTGCCCATGGCCCGACTGAGAGTGTCTGCTGGAGTGTCCTGATTGTCCCTGGGTAGATCCCTCCTGTCTCCCTCTGACAGAGGATCCAGACTGCCCATGTTGAGATCTAGCCTGGCCATGACTGGACCCTGAGTGTCCATGAGAGACTCCTGAGTGGTGTTCACTGTCACTGACCTCACTGTGACTTGCTTCCCTTCTTCCACTGGTGTGAGATCCAGTGTGTGAAGATTGCCCTCTGCCTCCCTGAGAGTGTCTGCTGGAGTCCCCTGATTGTCTCTGAGTAGATCCCTGTCTCTGTCTGACAGAGGATCCAGACTGTCCATGCTGAGATCTAGCCTGGCCATGACTGGACCCTGAGTGTCCATGAGAGACTGCTGAATGGCCTTCACTGTCACTGACCTCACTGTGACTTGCTTGTCTTGCAGTCCTGTCAGATCCCGTGTGTGAAGATTGCCCATGGCCCGACTGAGAGTGTCTGCTGGAGTCCCCTGATTGTCTCTGAGTAGATCCCTGTCTCCGTCTGACAGAGGATCCAGACTGCCCATGTTGAGATCTAGCCTGGCCATGACTGGACCCTGAGTGTCCATGAGAGACTGCTGACTGGCCTTCACTGTCACTGACCTCACTGTGACTTGCTTCCCTTCTTCCACTGGTGTGAGATCCAGTGTGTGAAGATTGTCCTCTGCCTACCTGAGAGTGTCTGCTGGAGTCCCCTGATTGTCTCTGAGTAGATCCCTGTCTCCCTCTGACAGAGGATCCAGACTGTCCATGCTGAGATCTAGCCTGGCCATGACTGGACCCTGAGTGTCCATGAGAGACTGCTGAATGGCCTTCACTGTCACTGACCTCACTGTGACTTGCTTCCCTTCTTCCACTGGTGTGAGATCCAGTGTGTGAAGATTGTCCTCTGCCTACCTGAGAGTGTCTGCTGGAGTCTCCTGATTGTCCCTGAGTAGATCCCTGTCTCCCTCTGACAGAGGATCCAGACTGTCCATGCTGAGATCTAGCCTGGCCATGACTGGACCCTGAGTGTCCATGTGAGACTCCTGACTGGTCTTCACTGTCACTGACCTCACTGTGACTTGCTTCTGTTCTAGTCCTGTCAGATCCCGTGTGTGAAGATTGCCCATGGCCAGACTGAGAGTGTCTGCTGGAGTCTCCGGATTGTGCCTGTGTAGATCCCTCCTGTCTCCCTCTGACAGAGGATCCAGACTGCCCATGTTGAGATCTAGCCTGGCCATGACTGGATCCTGAGTGTCCATGAGAGACTCCTGACTGGCCTTCACTGTCACTGACCTCACTGTGACTTGCTTCTCTTGTAGTCCTGTCAGATCCCGTGTGTGAAGATTGCCCATGGCCCGACTGAGAGTGTCTGCTGGAGTCTCCTGATTGTCCCTGGGTAGATCCCTCCTGTCTCCCTCTGACAGAGGATCCAGACTGCCCATGCTGAGATCTAGCCTGGCCATGACTGGACCCTGAGTGTCCATGAGAGACTCCTGAGTGGTCTTCACTGTCACTGACCTCACTGTGACTTGCTTCCCTTCTTCCACTGGTGTGAGATCCAGTGTGTGAAGATTGTCCTCTGCCTACCTGAGAGTGTCTGCTGGAGTCTCCTGATTGTCCCTGAGTAGATCCCTGTCTCCCTCTGACAGAGGATCCAGACTGTCCATGCTGAGATCTAGCCTGGCCATGACTGGACCCTGAGTGTCCATGTGAGACTCCTGACTGGTCTTCACTGTCACTGCCCTCACTGTGACTTGCTTCTGTTCTAGTCCTGTCAGATCCCGTGTGTGAAGATTGCCCATGGCCAGACTGAGAGTGTCTGCTGGAGTCTCCGGATTGTGCCTGTGTAGATCCCTCCTGTCTCCCTCTGACAGAGGATCCAGACTGCCCATGTTGAGATCTAGCCTGGCCATGACTGGATCCTGAGTGTCCATGAGAGACTCCTGACTGGCCTTCACTGTCACTGACCTCACTGTGACTTGCTTCTGTTCTAGTCCTGTCAGATCCCGTGTGTGAAGATTGCCCATGGCCTGACTGAGAGTGTCTGCTGGAGTCCCCTGATTGTCTCTGAGTAGATCCCTGTCTCCGTCTGACAGAGGATCCAGACTGCCCATGTTGAGATCTAGCCTGGCCATGACTGGACCCTGAGTGTCCATGAGAGACTCCTGAGTGGTGTTCACTGTCACTGACCTCACTGTGACTTGCTTCCCTTCTTCCACTGGTGTGAGATCCAGTGTGTGAAGATTGTCCTCTGCCTACCTGAGAGTGTCTGCTGGAGTCCCCTGATTGTCTCTGAGTAGATCCCTGTCTCCCTCTGACAGAGGATCCAGACTGTCCATGCTGAGATCTAGCCTGGCCATGACTGGACCCTGAGTGTCCATGAGAGACTGCTGAATGGCCTTCACTGTCACTGACCTCACTGTGACTTGCTTCCCTTCTTCCACTGGTGTGAGATCCAGTGTGTGAAGATTGTCCTCTGCCTACCTGAGAGTGTCTGCTGGAGTCTCCTGATTGTCCCTGAGTAGATCCCTGTCTCCCTCTGACAGAGGATCCAGACTGTCCATGCTGAGATCTAGCCTGGCCATGACTGGACCCTGAGTGTCCATGTGAGACTCCTGACTGGTCTTCACTGTCACTGCCCTCACTGTGACTTGCTTCTGTTCTAGTCCTGTCAGATCCCGTGTGTGAAGATTGCCCATGGCCAGACTGAGAGTGTCTGCTGGAGTCTCCGGATTGTGCCTGTGTAGATCCCTCCTGTCTCCCTCTGACAGAGGATCCAGACTGCCCATGTTGAGATCTAGCCTGGCCATGACTGGACCCTGAGTGTCCATGAGAGACTCCTGAGTGGTGTTCACTGTCACTGACCTCACTGTGACTTGCTTCCCTTCTTCCACTGGTGTGAGATCCAGTGTGTGAAGATTGTCCTCTGCCTACCTGAGAGTGTCTGCTGGAGTCTCCTGATTGTCCCTGAGTAGATCCCTGTCTCCCTCTGACAGAGGATCCAGACTGTCCATGCTGAGATCTAGCCTGGCCATGACTGGACCCTGAGTGTCCATGAGAGACTGCTGACTGGCCTTCACTGTCACTGACCTCACTGTGACTTGCTTCTCTTGTAGTCCTGTCAGATCCCGTGTGTGAAGATTGCCCATGGCCCGACTGAGAGTGTCTGGTGGAGTCCCCTGATTGTCTCTGAGTAGATCCCTGTCTCCCTCTGACAGAGGATCCAGACTGCCCATGCTGAGATCTAGCCTGGCCATGACTGGACCCTGAGTGTCCATGAGAGACTGCTGACTGGCCTTCACTGTCACTGACCTCACTGTGACTTGCTTCCCCTTCTTCCACTGGTGTGAGATCCAGTGTGTGAAGATTGTCCTCTGCCTACCTGAGAGTGTCTGCTGGAGTCCCCTGATTGTCTCTGAGTAGATCCCTGTCTCCCTCTGACAGAGGATCCAGACTGTCCATGCTGAGATCTAGCCTGGCCATGACTGGACCCTGAGTGTCCATGAGAGACTGCTGAATGGCCTTCACTGTCACTGACCTCACTGTGACTTGCTTCCCTTCTTCCACTGGTGTGAGATCCAGTGTGTGAAGATTGTCCTCTGCCTACCTGAGAGTGTCTGCTGGAGTCTCCTGATTGTCCCTGAGTAGATCCCTGTCTCCCTCTGACAGAGGATCCAGACTGTCCATGCTGAGATCTAGCCTGGCCATGACTGGACCCTGAGTGTCCATGTGAGACTCCTGACTGGTCTTCACTGTCACTGCCCTCACTGTGACTTGCTTCTGTTCTAGTCCTGTCAGATCCCGTGTGTGAAGATTGCCCATGGCCAGACTGAGAGTGTCTGCTGGAGTCTCCGGATTGTGCCTGTGTAGATCCCTCCTGTCTCCCTCTGACAGAGGATCCAGACTGCCCATGTTGAGATCTAGCCTGGCCATGACTGGATCCTGAGTGTCCATGAGAGACTCCTGACTGGCCTTCACTGTCACTGACCTCACTGTGACTTGCTTCTGTTCTAGTCCTGTCAGATCCTGTGTGTGAAGATTGCCCATGGCCAGACTGAGAGTGTCTGCTGGAGTCTCTGGTTTGTGCCTGTGTAGATCCCTCCTGTCTCCCTCTGACAGAGGATCCAGACTGTCCATGCTGAGATCTAGCCTGGCCATGACTGGACCCTGAGTGTCCATGAGAGACTGCTGACTGGCCTTCACTGTCACTGACCTCACTGTGACTTGCTTCTCTTGTAGTCCTGTCAGATCCCGTGTGTGAAGATTGCCCATGGCCCGACTGAGAGTGTCTGCTGGAGTCTCCTGATTGTCCCTGAGTAGATCCCTGTCTCCCTCTGACAGAGGATCCAGACTGTCCATGCTGAGATCTAGCCTGGCCATGACTGGACCCTGAGTGTCCATGAGAGACTGCTGACTGGCCTTCACTGTCACTGACCTCACTGTGACTTGCTTGTCTTGTAGTCCTGTCAGATCCCGTGTGTGAAGATTGCCCATGGCCCGACTGAGAGTGTCTGGTGGAGTCCCCTGATTGTCTCTGAGTAGATCCCTGTCTCCCTCTGACAGAGGATCCAGACTGCCCATGTTGAGATCTAGCCTGGCCATGACTGGACCCTGAGTGTCCATGAGAGACTGCTGACTGGCCTTCACTGTCACTGACCTCACTGTGACTTGCTTCCCTTCTTCCACTGGTGTGAGATCCAGTGTGTGAAGATTGTCCTCTGCCTACCTGAGAGTGTCTGCTGGAGTCCCCTGATTGTCTCTGAGTAGATCCCTGTCTCCCTCTGACAGAGGATCCAGACTGTCCATGCTGAGATCTAGCCTGGCCATGACTGGACCCTGAGTGTCCATGAGAGACTGCTGAATGGCCTTCACTGTCACTGACCTCACTGTGACTTGCTTCCCTTCTTCCACTGGTGTGAGATCCAGTGTGTGAAGATTGTCCTCTGCCTACCTGAGAGTGTCTGCTGGAGTCTCCTGATTGTCCCTGAGTAGATCCCTGTCTCCCTCTGACAGAGGATCCAGACTGTCCATGCTGAGATCTAGCCTGGCCATGACTGGACCCTGAGTGTCCATGTGAGACTCCTGACTGGTCTTCACTGTCACTGACCTCACTGTGACTTGCTTCTGTTCTAGTCCTGTCAGATCCCGTGTGTGAAGATTGCCCATGGCCAGACTGAGAGTGTCTGCTGGAGTCTCCGGATTGTGCCTGTGTAGATCCCTCCTGTCTCCCTCTGACAGAGGATCCAGACTGCCCATGTTGAGATCTAGCCTGGCCATGACTGGATCCTGAGTGTCCATGAGAGACTCCTGACTGGCCTTCACTGTCACTGACCTCACTGTGACTTGCTTCTCTTGTAGTCCTGTCAGATCCCGTGTGTGAAGATTGCCCATGGCCCGACTGAGAGTGTCTGCTGGAGTGTCCTGATTGTCCCTGGGTAGATCCCTCCTGTCTCCCTCTGACAGAGGATCCAGACTGCCCATGCTGAGATCTAGCCTGGCCATGACTGGACCCTGAGTGTCCATGAGAGACTGCTGAGTGGTGTTCACTGTCACTGACCTCACTGTGACTTGCTTCCCTTCTTCCACTGGTGTGAGATCCAGTGTGTGAAGATTGTCCTCTGCCTACCTGAGAGTGTCTGCTGGAGTCTCCTGATTGTCCCTGAGTAGATCCCTGTCTCCCTCTGACAGAGGATCCAGACTGTCCATGCTGAGATCTAGCCTGGCCATGACTGGACCCTGAGTGTCCATGTGAGACTCCTGACTGGTCTTCACTGTCACTGCCCTCACTGTGACTTGCTTCTGTTCTAGTCCTGTCAGATCCCGTGTGTGAAGATTGCCCATGGCCAGACTGAGAGTGTCTGCTGGAGTCTCCGGATTGTGCCTGTGTAGATCCCTCCTGTCTCCCTCTGACAGAGGATCCAGACTGCCCATGTTGAGATCTAGCCTGGCCATGACTGGATCCTGAGTGTCCATGAGAGACTCCTGACTGGCCTTCACTGTCACTGACCTCACTGTGACTTGCTTCTGTTCTAGTCCTGTCAGATCCCGTGTGTGAAGATTGCCCATGGCCTGACTGAGAGTGTCTGCTGGAGTCTCCCTGATTGTCTCTGAGTAGATCCCTGTCTCCCTCTGACAGAGGATCCAGACTGCCCATGTTGAGATCTAGCCTGGCCATGACTGGACCCTGAGTGTCCATGAGAGACTCCTGAGTGGTGTTCACTGTCACTGACCTCACTGTGACTTGCTTCCCTTCTTCCACTGGTGTGAGATCCAGTGTGTGAAGATTGTCCTCTGCCTACCTGAGAGTGTCTGCTGGAGTCCCCTGATTGTCCCTGAGTAGATCCCTCTCTCCCTCGGACAGATGATCCAGACTGTCCATGCTGAGATCTAGCCTGGCCATGACTGGACCCTGAGTGTCCATGTGAGACTCCTGACTGGTCTTCACTGTCACTGACCGCACTGTGACTTGCTTCTGTTCTAGTCCTGTCAGATCCCGTGTGTGAAGATTGCCCATGGCCAGACTGAGAGTGTCTGCTGGAGTCTCCTGATTGTGCCTGTGGAGATCCCTCCTGTCTCCCTCTGACAGAGGATCCAGACTGCCCATGTTGAGATCTAGCCTGGCCATGACTGGATCCTGAGTGTCCATGAGAGACTCCTGACTGGCCTTCACTGTCACTGACCTCACTGTGACTTGCTTCCCTTCTTCCACTGGTGTGAGATCCAGTGTGCGAAGATTTACTTCTGCCTACCTGAGAGTGTCTTCTGGCGTCCCCTGATTGCCCCTGAGTCGATCCTTGTCTCCCTGTGTCGGAGGATCCAAAATGTGTCTCTGCAGATTTTCCATTGCCATAGCAAGTCCCTGATTGTCCCTCTGCAGGCCCTGAAAGGCATGCACTTTTAGTGCCTCCAGTGTTTCTGGTTTCTTGTGTTCTAGTTTCACTTGAATCTGACTCTTGGTTTTGCCTACGAGTAGAAGTCTGAGATGATGCAGAGTTCTGTTTTCCTACAGTTCCTGAGTCGCTGGAGTGGGAACTATTTACTGTATGTCTAGAGGAGTGATCTGAGCCCGACCCATGTTTTCCAAATCCTGAGGACTGACCTGCGTTGGACTGTTGTTGGCCATAGCCAGAGGACTGACCTGAGCCAGACCCATGTTGTCCACAGGTAGTGTGAGCTGAGCCACACCCATTCTTTCCAATACCAGAGGACTGTCCAGAGCAAGCCCTATGTTCACCATATTTAGAATAATCATTTGAAGGACATCTTGTTTGATGAGAGTTCCTGGAGCATTTACGGCAACCAGATCCTTGTTGACTACAGTTAGAAGACTGACATGCTCCAGACCCATATTGGCCATAGCAAGAGGATTGACTTGATCCTATTTCCTGTTGTCTTCCACAATTCTGTGGTTGACAACATGCCATAGATTCATATCTTCTATGAGAAGAAGATTGGCTACAGGAGCTATGCTTACATTGACCATATCCAGAGGATTGACCTCCTGAGATATATGTGTGACTTTGTCTTCCCTTATATCCTGATTGACAACCTGACTGAGTACATCTAGATTTAGTTCTTTGCCCTCCAAATCTACCTGCCTGACAAGAGCTAAAAGCATTTTGTGTTCCTCCACACTCACTTGAATTGCTAATACCACATACATAGCTTTGTCTTCCATTGTCTGTTGAACCTTTAGAGCTAGATGGAAGCTGTTGTCCTCCACTCCTTCTTGACTGAGTAGAGTTAGATTCATGCCCACTAACTTCCATTCCACATGACAGACCACCGTGACCTTTCCTTCCCCCACTCTTATATTCAGATTCAGATTCAGATTCAGATTCCTCCCCAGATTCCCTAGAGGAGCTAACATGTGAATTGTTTCTTCTTTCCTCTAGCTTTCCAGAGGTGGAACCATGTCTTTTTTTGCCACTACTCTGTGAGTGACTAGAGCTAGACCCACGGCGCCTTTTCTCAAATTCCTCTTGGTTCCCTAAGCTAGATGAACTGTCTTGCATCCCCAGCCTCCAGGAGTTGGACCCATGTCTGTGTTTCACAGTTCTCCTTGAGCCCTTAGAACCATAACCATGCTCTTTTCCCTTACTCCTACTTAGATTTTTGTAACCTGATTTCTGTCCTGATGTATCCTCATCTTCTTCTGTTTCACTTTCTTCTTCTGGGTGTCGGTGACAATTCCCATGCTTCTGCTTCTTTGACCCTGAAGCCTTGCAGTATTCTTTGCTGAGAACCTTGTTGCAGGCCATAGCCAGCTTGAATACCATCAGAAGAAACTCATTAAAGTCCAATCTTCGGTCATGATCTCGATCCAGCATATGCATAATGACATCCACTGTATCTGGATCATCTGGGTTCTGTATATGAACAACACACCAAAGGAGACTTGGTTCAACCTAGCCCACAAACTCAGCTAAAATATGAGGGTAGGTCTGTGGAATTGCAGATATTTGACATTAGGTATTTTTAATCCAGTCAAGGATTACTTTAGGCTAGGGCAGCCTGACAGGACCCAGCAGGTGTGAAAAGGTAATACAGAACATAAACTGTTGAAATCCTCTTAAGAATACAGCTCAAGGACCTAAGTAGAAAACTAGGTACTCAAATATAGCATACAGAAACGAGTTGAATAAACCAAGTTCAGTACCTGGTATGCTTTAGTTTTACATAAATTTTAAAAATTACATGTTAATATATTCTGTTAGGATGTATACTTTTTAGTTAACAACTGAGTCCTTTCAAAAATGCATATTTTTTGCTTTTGATGTTTAGTCATCTGTCTACTTGGTCAACTCACTCTGTAGATGACTTCCCTCTCTGTACCTTTTCTTTCCCATTTAATAAGCTTAGTACAAATTTTATTTTCTGCTTTTTCAGAATTGGAAGCCTAGGGGCATGAAGAAGTCTGAGAGGTCCACATGGTGGGAATGCACAGGAATGTGAGGAAAAATCACTTTTCTAAAAATAAACACTGTCTCAACAGACTTTCTGATGTCACAAAGAAGGACTGCTCATAGAGTTTGCTCAGGATCCCTGGAACTGTGCAATTTTAAACTAGTATTTGGTTATAGAACCAATAATATACAGAACCATTGAAGCCCTCAATCCTAGCACATGGTCCTCACCTTCAGAATTGGCCGAAACTCTTTCTCCAGAAGTTCCTTTAGCTCATCCGTGCTCAGTGTGGCGCATTCCTCATCTTGGCTGGTGTATTTGTAGAAAACATCAATGATGGTGACAACACTTCTCAAGAGGTCGGTCATCTTTTTGCACGTTTAAGTGAACCTGAAGAGAAAAACAAAACAAAAGACTGAATCATTCATTTTCTTTCCTTTTAATTTATAAGCAGTTCTGATTTTAATAATCATCATCATGATTTTTCGAATTTTTGGTCTTTTTAAAACCTAAAATACTTCAGAAAATAAAGTTGGGTCAGAGATGATACAAAACCTTTCAACACAATGAAAAATAACTGTTAACATTAGTCATAGAATGTTACTGGCTGAACTGGGACTATGTATATCTTAGGTCTTCATGTCCTGGATAAATATATTTTTTTCTTAATGTCTCTACACTTTGTGTATTTTGATGTCCTAGGTGTTGTCCTGGGGCTTCCAAAGTTTTCAGAACCACCCAGACCTATAACTCTAGTCTCTCTTGCTAGTTTCACTGATTTTCTAGAGTCAAAAAGCAACAAATCTACCATGCATACCTCAAGCACCAAAAGCTAAACCATACCCTTCAGGCCTTTAAAAAATAAAAATGAGCAAAGTGGCTTAATGTATTCTTGGTTTCCCAGAGGCCTGAGATAGCCCTCATGAGAGCTTAGGAACTATCCTAATGGCAGCCCTTGACCAAACACTGTTCTCTTTCGTAAATTGGGGAGAAAGGCTCAGAAAAGCAGGCAGCAATTTGGCTAGTAGATGATTTGATCTGGGAGCTCTGGGAATTAACACTGAAAAAGGAAGGGACTCTACAACAGTGCTAGCCTCCTCTCTGAGCTGGACATCTCAGAAGAGATGGCATGCCAAAAGAATAGGAAGAGAATGTGGAATGTCCTGTAGGAAGACAAACTTCTTCTCCACAAGGACCAATTGATTCTAAAAAGGCCCAGAATAAATTAAACTAGCCAGACAAATAAGCAAGTAAAAGTAAAAGAAAAAAGGAACAAAAAAGGAAAGACAGGCCAAATGTATATTAACTCTGCCTTAGCTCAAACACTTGAATTTCTCCTGTGGACAATGACCAACCAAATATCCATCGAGAGAGCTTGATGAATTTTCTCTCACCTGGTTCACCAAAGGAACAAGTAGGAAAAAAGCCTGATGAAGCTTGCAGGGTGACAATGACTGAGATAGTGGCCCTTATATAGCTAGCATGTGGGTGATGCCTTCTGTGGGATGGACTGATTCATTTCCAATCAAACCTAACTCCGCCTCTGTCCATGTTTACCTTCTTACTCCTTTGCATTCTCATCTTTGAGATGATTGCAGAAAGGCTGGTGCCAGCCTACCTTTCAGGATGAGGGCATGTTGCAGGGCACTTTTGTTCAGGGTCATACACTTGTGAAAAGCAGATACTGTGTTTTGGAGGACTCATGCAACTCATTTTCATTGTCTAGTACCCACAAAAAGCAGCAAGTTGTAAGGTATTTGGCAGGTATGCAATAAATGCTTATTTAATTAAAAATTAACCTAGACCATTAGGCTCACCTAACTCATATCTTTTTGCAATAATAATTGCCATTTATTGAGACTTTACAGTGTGCAAGGTATTATGCTGAATACTTTTCACATATCATCTCATTTAATTTTCACCACATTTCTATGAGATATGTGTTTTTTCTAATTTTACAGGTGAAAAAATAGGTTTAGAGCGCATAAGAGTCATCTCCAGGGCCACACAGCTAGCAGGTGGAGGAAGAGTTTGAACCTATATCTACCTTATCATAATGCCCTTTCTCTTAACCATTACACTAACTTATCTCTGTGTATTGATTGTATATGCCTATTACACAAAAATTATGCACTATTTTAGGTATGTCAATTCTACCCAAATACAAAAAAATATGAAAGAGTAATATAAAGAGTGCTATAATATAAAGAGCCTGAAAAAGAAGAAACATATTTTCTGGCCCTTTGAAGGTTCTTTTCTATACTATTAAAGTATAACTTAAGGAGCTAAACACAAAAGTAATATCTTTAGAAGTGTTCAGGGTGAATTTAGAGTGGACTTTCTTCTTGGGCTTTCTGCTTTCCATGGGTAGTCTGGCAGCTTGGGCCTGAACCCTTGGGAAAATTTCACTTATGTACACAAAGTTTATCAAATATAATACCTGAGGGAAGCAAAAATAGAACAAGCTTTTCTGTACTTTGCCACCAGGTGATGCTGATGCTGATGCTGATGAATGATGTAGATAGCAGTTATCATTAATTAAGTGCCTACTATCTTCTAGACAAGAGGGTTTCATTATACATGCTTATCTTTTGATTCCTCACAATAACCCTGTAAGGTCTGTATTATTTTCATTCTCATTTTACTAATAAGGAAATGAAAGCACAGAGAAATTTAATAATTCATTCTAGTGGCAGGACTAGAATAGAAACCCATGCTGCCTGATGTGAAAGCCCTGCACTTAACCCCATATATACCTATATATCTGGGGTTGATCAGTTACTATCTGGGCACTCCTTCAGGGGAGGCACTGTATCCTATTGACCCCACTATCAGGACAGTACCTAGGACTTAGTAAACAGAGTGACAGTCTGTTCACAAAATGTTAATGGATGTACTGCTGAAGTATACCCATTGCCCTCATAGCCAGGGAGTCCTAGACGAAAGTGATCACACAAAAAGTTATGTTGTCCCTTGGATGTTATGGTCATTTTTAGTTTTACACATTTACATCTTTTGAAATTATGCTTATTTTTGTTGTGAAGACTGGTATGCCAGGAGGACTCTCAGACCCCCAGCCTCCACTGGGAGATTTTTAAAGCCATCCTTGCACTGCAACTCCAGGATTCTAGCTCAAAACTTTGAAACCAGTTCCAGAGTTTAACTGCTCACAAGACTCCATCATTCACGCTTTTGTATTTATGTTCAGATTTTTCTTCCTTTTCTAACTTGCTTAGCATAATAGATAAAAGTATAAACTTAGGAGGTAGAAAGAATTGAGCTCAAATCTCAGCTGTCTTTTACTAGCTGTGTCCCTTGGGCAATTTTCTAATCCTCTGAATCCCAGTTTCCTAACTTTTGTAATGGGAATAATAATACTCCCCTCACTGGTGGAGATTACTTCAGATAATGTGTGAAATTGCTTAGTGTTTATCTGGCATATTATATATGCTTACTAAATTATATAGTTATTGTAGGCTTCCTCTCAAAAATTATTTAGCATCTTACACATGTGCTTAATCATGTTTGATGAAAGTAAATTAGGATCCAATAAAAGTACTTTAAGGGAAAAAAACTACTTCTCTGTCAAAAATCATTGTCCCAGAAGGTAAGTCATTATTATGATTTTTAATTTTTTAAAAGATTTTACTTATTTTTAGAGAGAGGGAAAGGGAGGGAGAAAGAGAGGGAGAGGAACATCAATGTATGGTTGCCTTTTGGGGGCCCCTCACCAGGGATCTTGCCTGAAACCCAGGCATGTGCCCTGACTGGGAATCAAACCAGCAATGCTTTGGTTCTGAGGCCTGTACTCAATCCACTGAGCTACACCAGCCAGGTTTGATTTTTTAAAAATAATACTTTTGAGATGTAATTCACACATAATAAAATTCATCCTTTTAAAGTATGCAGTTTACTGGGTTTTAGTATATTCACAGAGTTGTGCAATTGTTATACTTATTATGGTGTCTCTGTCCTTAAGTAAGTTTCCTCACTTCTCAATGCTTCAGTTTTCCCTGTATAATAACTATAATGTGCTATTAGTGTGCATTATACAAGAGGACACATGTCAAATCATTTCAGCTGCAATTCTGGGGAATAGTTATGGTCCTACCAGAGGCCCACATGCCATTTGGAAAGGACTGAAGTGATGGTTTCTAAGGATCAACTTGACACCTCCAGAGATTTTTGCCCGCCTGGATTCTGAAAGGTCATTTGGTCCCATGAAGTATAGTCCTGAAGTCCAGAGCTAGTGTCAGCTACACCATTTCTCTGGATGTGGGCCTCGTTCTCACCCTATTCTCCCCATCTCACGATCCTCTGCTCATTCCACACCCATACTGCTCTGGGTTTTCAGGGACTGCCAGACTTTGCTTTGAGGCCCCAGTTGGTGACGCTTGTGAATTATTGACTACCAAATGTCTTGAGGTGGAAGCTATATCTTAAAATGTAAAAAATCATTTTAACTGTACCTGTGAAAATCCCAGATTTTGGTTTTTCCACTCAATGTCAGCTGAGTTTTGTTTTCATGTTATATCCTATTCAAAGGGGGCCTTCTTCAGGTTAAGGTCTGTGCCTATCATAAGAACCAAACATTCTCTCTTTGCTGGAACCCCTATACTGAGGTTTCTCAATGAACTCAATTTAGAGCAGATACCTGAGAGTTGATCCAGGAACACTGGTACATAATAAATCTCTTTTCTATAAAAGCAGTTTAGGAAGCTGTTCTTGGCTCTCAGCATGATAAAGTGAGAAGAATGTTGACTTTGCGTAAGACAAATAGTCTTTGTATCACAGCTCCAACATAACCACCTGTAACACCTGGGACAAGTTTCTAAATCTGAGTCTCTGTTTCCACACCTGTGAAATGAAGATAATGTTAGATATGTGAGAATTAGATGAGATAGTACTAGAATAATACTGAACACGTGATAAGGGTTCAATGTATTTTATTTTTTTTCTTATTCTTAAATTTAATCTGATTAGGAGAAGATTATCAATAGGTTTCAGGGGCAATGGTTCCTGGAGATGATTCTTAACACTCTTCTTTCCTGGTAGTTTGTCTTCCTAAGTGAAGTCAGAGGCCAGTTGGATAGAACTGTTGGAACCCAGCCTCAAAGGAGCTTACAATTTGTTATGAAAAGTTCGTGAGGATATGGAACTACTATCTAGACCAGCTGAGAATGCCCCTAGCCCCAGAGTCCTTTCTTACTTTGTCACATCATTGGTATCTCAAGATCCAAGCAACTGAGTCTCACAAAGAGGTACCTGCTGACACACTGAAGCTTTCAGGCTGTTTGTGATATGAGGCTTCAGAAACTTGTTCTGTCCAGTTCTAACTGAGGAGAACTCTCTGGGACCTTGAGACACT